TCCATGCACTTATGCAATAATGCCTTTCCATAGACCTAACAAAGCAGCAAGCATACAGCATTTGTGCAGTAATTCTCTATTGCATAAAGCTTTACTGGCTGTATTGTCTAGCACTGTTTCTAAAAACTACCCAGCAGGCATTAAGGACTATTTTCCTAGGTTCTTTCTGATAAACTAAAAATTGCCTTTGGTTAAACAGTATTTTTGAAATATCTCTGTGTAACTCAATCTTTTAAAATAAGGGAAAATAAAGTCATGAAGAAAAACCTCAATGTAAAAATAATTTAAAACATAAATCTCAAGGCACTGCAAAACTAGTAAAGAGAAACAAAAAATGAAAATTAATGTTACGCATAAAACGCTAACACAACTTGGGAATAAATTAATCTGAATCATTCAAGTCTTACTGAAGAAATTCAGTGACACAAGCTCCCTAATGTTTCTAGAAAAGAAATCCTTACACAATTTCATCATTTGCACAATGAAAACTAGGAAGAGTCAAAGAACAGCAAGATTTTGATCAGCATGACATGCCAGTCTTCTTATATGTGCAATAGTTGTTAAGGGTAACACGCTGCTCTGTGACGTTCTGAATTTAGGAAAAACAACATCCTCAGCACAAATCAAAACATCACAGAGAGAAATACACAGTGTGGGCGAGACAGAGAAACTTCTATCCACTACTTTGTTCCCAAATGCCGGCAATGGCCAGAGCTGAGCTGATCCAAAGTCTCCCACATGGGTGAAGGACATGTCTTCCCAGGCCATAAGCAGGAAACTGGATGGGAAGTGGAGCAGCTGGGACCTGAACCAGTGTCTGAATGGGATGTTACTTCCTCAGGTGGAGGCCTAGCATCCTCTGCTGGTCCCCTAAATGACCCTTAACCTCTGTGTTTTATGATTTGACCCCTATATTACCTAAAGTAACTACCAGCGGATAAAGATCTGTCTTGCCCTTTCTTTCTGACTCTGGCTTTCAAATAAGAAATAGTAAATTAAAAAAAAAGAATTCAGATCAAATGACCAAATGGTCAAATATCTCTCAAGCCTGTTTCTAAAAATGCCAGTAAGAACTGCAAGTCAGAGAAATGAATATTAGTACAGACAAGAAAATTGCAAGAAGAAAGAGCAACAACTTCAAACGATAAATAAGCATGCAATTCTGGGTCAAGGATGTTATCTCACAGAACCATTTCTCAGTTGATATGCAGGTCACAAAGAGAAAAAGGCAAAATCAACCAACAAATATTTCTACCTGTTTCTATGTCTACTTTAAATTCTTATTTAAAGTCATCTACAAAATTTACAGATACACACAATTATTTCCCTTGTCATGGCCAAGAAAATTACACACTCCCTTATTAAGAATAATCAATAATAATTTTTTAAAAAACCGAAAAATGAACCAATTCAAAATTTACTTATGCAGGGCCCTGAGCGGTAGCCTAGCGGCTAAAGTTCTCGCCTTCCATGTGCCGGGATCCCATATGGGCACCAGTTGGTGTCCCGGCAGCCCCGCTTCCCATCCAGTTTCCTGCCTGTGGAATGGGAAGGCAGTTGAGAACGGCCCAAAGTCTTTGGACCCTGTACCCAGGCGGGAGACCAGATCAGCTCAGCTCTGGTCGTTGTGGCCACTTGGGGAGCGAATCAACGGACAGATGGAAGATCTTCCTGTCTCTCTTCCACTCTGTATACATGACTTTCCAAGAAAAATAAAATCTTCAAAAAAATTACTAATGCAAACTTCCCATGTGAAGACAAAGAAATCAAATCATCTTAAAAAGTGACTAGTAGGGCCCGGCGTGGTGGTGCACTGGTTGGGGTCCTCGACTTACACGCCCGGGATCCCATATGGGCGCCGGTTCTATCCCGGCAACCCCGCTTCCCTTCTAGATCCCTGCCTGTGGCCCAGGAAAGCAGTCGAGGATGGCCCAAGGCTGTGGGGACCCTGCACCTGCGTGGGAGACCCAGAAGAGGCTCCTGGCTTTGGATCGGCATAGCATCAGCCGTTGCGCTCACTTGGGGAGTGAATCATCAGACGGAAGATCTTCCTCTCTGTCTCTCCTCTCTGTATATCCGCCTTTCCAATAAAAAAAAAAAAGTGACTAGTAAGCACGTATGTTAATGACAAGAGCTGGTTGGTAACCAAGTGTGAATGGGTGAAAACACAGGCAGAAAATTAAAAATTAGATTTGCTGGTTTGTATTCAAAGCATAGCCACCTAAAACAAGCACAAGAGAGTAGAATATAAAAAATATTATATGCCACTCAAGACTCTTTGAAGAAGTGCAAGGATTCTGGGAAGGTACAAATTACCATAAAAATAAAAACATGAAGTTCTAGATTAGAAAAAAGAATGGAATTCCACACCGGACCAAAAATGCAAATTGTGAACAAACAATCTGAGGACTAAGCAAACCAAAATTTGATAAATAAAAACAGCAAAATGAAAAGAAAGTGGTACAAAATAACATCTATGCTAACATAAACAATAAGAATAAAATTAGGAGGCTATTAGAATCAAAATTCTTCAATTTCTAGACTCTTGCAAGTTTACATTATCTAGAATGCCAAAATACAATACCGACACTTTTGGGGAGCTGCCTAGCCTACTTTTCCAAATCACCTTGATATATTCCCTAATTAACGTATTTAGGCTAGGTTCAATTTTCTAATGCTTTTAGTCTGGCACATATGAAACTTCATTTAGACCAGAAAAACCCTGAATCTTCGACACGAAGCAAATGTAGCTGGCGGGTAAGCACAAACAAAAGTGTTACTATGAATTTCAGGGGGAATCCTAGCATTATTATAATCATTTCTAAGATTTCCTTGTTTAGAAATATGGGCTGTAATAATAAATTCTCAGACCCTACTGATTATTGATAAAGGAACAAACACATAAAAAAAGCCCAAAGCCTGATGGAAACCTTGGTGAAAGTCATTTCAGCACTAAGAATCCTGACACCGATACAGTTTTGTCTGCCCTGTTCCTCAACAGCTTCCCTCCACCTTAGGATGTATGATTCTGAGAATATTTACACTCAGAAAACAAAAATCCCTATCTTGTCTCTCTTTGGAGAATTTTCCAGAAGTTCATCCAAGCAGGAATTTTATCTTTCCCTTAAGCGATCAAGAAACAAAATGGCAGCTAGTGAACTCAAAGTGGGCAGACCAAGAAAACACCCAGCATGTTTAAAACAAGTTCTATTAACTGCCTTGGGCACTAAGAAAGTACCAGCCCACAGACAGCCAGTTGTCTTACCAACTCCCTTACTCTGAGAGGCTGAAAGGATCGCTCCCTCTCATACCCTGCCCTCACCTTGGTGTATACACTAACACCTCACAAATGTAGTGACACAACAGAGCTCAACCTACTGGACACAACAGTTGAAAAAACTACAGTCAGAAAACACAGTAAGGTCTTAAAGGTCTTAAGACTTTAGTAAGACTTTACAATAGCTTAAAATGATGTAGATTTTCTGCCCTACCACACTGGTTCAACTGGCTAATCCTCCCCTTTGAAGAACCAGATACCATGTGGGTGCCGGTTCATGTCCTGGCTGCTTCACTTCCCATCCAGCTCCCTGCTCACAACCTGGAAAAACAGAAATATGGGCCAAAACCTTGGGATCCTGCAAGGTGTGGGACACCTAGAGGAAGCTCCTGGCTAATGGCTTCGGATTAGCTCAGCTCGGGCCCATTGCAGCCATGGCTAGCGACCGAAGAGCTTTCCCCCTCTCTTTTTCTGTAAATCCGCCTTTCCAATGAAATAAAAAAAAAAAGAAAAAGATTTCCAATCACAGAACACTTTGTCTTACAATTATAATTACAGTGAGTCAAGCATTCAACTATTCCATAATCCCTTCAAGAGAGTTTTTTTTTCCGTTAACTCTGTGAAGTCTTTGGAGTTAGTGGTCATGTCTTTTGGTTTGTTTCTTTTCATGTTACCTACATATCGCAGGCACAGGGTAAGCACTAAATATGAAGGTACTTCAAAAAGTTCAAGAAAACATGCAACTAAAAGGTTCAAGTTGCTGCAAAACATTTTGAAATCCATGCATAGTGTTTTTCATGAAGACAAGCATTATCAAAGAAACCTATATAGACATTAAAAAATTACTGTATAAAAACAACTTATCTTTTACCTTTTCTCACAAACTTTCTGAAGTACCCTTGTAGATACATAATTATTCTCACAATGCTATTATAAACCATGAAAACAAGGTCATAATGGGAACATGATACCAGATTTTCCAAAGGGGGGGGGGAACCCACCACCAGTGTTGTAGTTTCAGGAATCTGGCGGTGGCAAAAAGCCAAGCTGAATCTCACTAGATCTTTCCTTGTCCCAGCTTCATTAATTAACATCAACACAATGGAAACTGCAATGTATAAAAATTCCTCAGGTTTGCTACAAGAATTTGCAAAGTGTTGATCAAAATCTCAGTGCAATTACAACTTATAAATACTTCCCGTTTAAAAAAAGGGGAGGCAGAAAATTCCTTCTGGTAAGTAATTCTCAAGTCTCTCATTAAAAACTAAAGACAAAGATAAGTAAATCAAATTTCTTCATAGAAAAATTATATTTATAACTCCATTTAAAACCAGTTTTTAAAAGCCAACACAGTAACACTGAAGTTGAAAATTTTATGCTCATTCAAAGTTGCCAGGTCTAACAGATTACAGAATATTGCATCAAAAATAAGGCAATAACCCAAAATATGCCTTTAAGGATTTCTCAACTCCTACAACTAAATGGAAATACCTATCTAGTAGTAAATAATACTTCATTCAGTTTCAAAATGTCTAAAACCATCACTGACAGAAGTGATAAAAATTTGATCACTCTTCATTACTCTTAGAACACTTGAAGAAAAATAATTTCTAAAGCACAAAGAGGTAAAGAGGTATTATCTTTCAAAAAGACACTCAGTGTTGAAAAGTCAATAATGTAATATCAACACACAATGAGCATTAGGTGAATTTATGCGATACAGTGTTGTCAAGTTCATTTATTTAGTATTTTTTCCATTCCATATCATCAGGAGGATTGATTTCAACTTTTCTTTTACCTACATCAGACCAATTGGTACTCAAAACTGTACCACCCGACTCCATCTGGAAAAAAAAAAAAAAGTTAGCTGCAGAGACATATGATCAAAAATGGTCAAAGACATTTTTTAAAAAGGTTCCAGGCACACAGTCCCAAATAAAAATTCAATATAAACTTAGTTAAGTATGAACTGTTACATCAAACACAACATCCATAGGCACAATAAAAGCTTCAAACATTTTTTTTTTAATGTTAGATGATAGATTAGTGAAGCCCAAAAATTCCAAATGGTAAGAGCATCACGTTCATATACACTGCCGTATAAGATACCATTTTTCCCTCTGCTATTTAACACATAAATGTATGTAGAAAAACAACTTTAACTAAGCTCCAGAACTTAAGAAACTCAACTTCATATCCTTCCCTGCCAAATACATTAAATTTTATTCTGAAATGTTACAAAATTCAAATTACATACCCACACTGTCTCAGTGTGGGTACCTACAATCTACTGAATGTAGCACAACCTAGCAGTTAAAAATACAAATAGGTGCCAAATAACATTCAAGTCAATTAGTCCATTTTCTGTTCCTTTAATTAGGCTGGGTCCTTTATGAAGGAAAAAAGCTTATGGTTATTGGAGACTAAAAGACCAAAGAGCGGGATGCCAACTCTGTTGAGAACCACCTGACATCATGGGGTGAATTTGTGAGGAAGGAAAAGACCATATGACTCGCCAGGAAGACAGAGTGGGAGGGAAGGGTCAGGTATGCTCCTTTATAGCATTTCTGTCCTGATAATCAGGGTAGTTTGAGGCTATTGTTCCAAGGTCCCAATGAAAACATCATATTAGGCTCCCACCTCTTAAAGATCCTATCTTGACATTGAAAATCAAGATTTTCAATGGCAGAGACAAACCACATCTACAGTTAGAATGAACTTTCATAACACAGCAGCATCACAGCTGTTGTCACTCCATAGTACGTGACATTATGCATGATTGTCTTGATGCTGTTCACTGTCCAAGTGGGCACTATGGCCAGAACTGAGCTGATCTGAAACTAGCAGCTTCTTCCATGTCTCCCATGCATCTGCAGGGTCCCAAGGCTTTGGGTCGACGTTGACTACTTTTCCAGGCCACAAGCAGAGAGAGGGATGGGAAGTGGGGCAGCTAGGATTAGTACCAGCACCCATATGGGATCTCAACATGTTCAAGGTGAGGATCCAGCCACTGAGCCATCTCAGTGGCTCCGTCTCCCTTACTCGGGGTTTGCTGTACGGGGTTCTGTCTCCTGCTCAGTTCTTTTTGATATTTTTAGTTATCTTCCAAACAAGAAACGTCACCATCTCCCTGCCATCTTCTTTGACCCTATTCAATGGGATATGGGACAGAATGGACTAGTCTGCTACACATACTGGCAAACCAGGGTAGGGGCAGGCCTGGTGGGGGTTATTGTGGGTCGCTCTGACTGGGCTGTAGCTCCCACTTGTTTATGTGAAGGCCGAGTATGTGTTGGGCAGAACCAGGCTGGACTGCAACACCCACTGGTTCCAGGGGAAGTCGGGACTGAAAACAGAACCCAGCAACTGCAACGAAGTAACAAGAGTAAACCAAAAATTGTCATCTAGTACTTGGAGGCTAGAAACTGCAGCATCATTCAAAGAAATGAAAACTGATGACTAATGCAATTTTTACCAAATTCCTAACCAAGATGCTACTGCACTGACAGAACTACTGTAAAATTTATCTGGAAAAATCAGCAAGGATACCTAAAAGCAATTCTGAAGTTTAAGAATAAGATGATGAGGAATGAGTCCGCCCCACTTCAGACTTACATGGTATTCACATAGCAATATTGACAGAGATCAACATAAAAGAATGGGAAACTATTTTTGAGAAAGTGGGAACAGCAACTGAATAAAGATAACTTTTTCAATACAAGGTGCTAGAGCAACAAACACAATAAAACTAAAGAGAAGAGAGGGGCTCAATTTTAAACATTTACTTATTTATATGAAAGGCAGAGAGAGAGAGAGAAATGTTTTTCCATCCTCTGGCTTACTCCTCAAATGCCTGCAACCCAAGGTTAGGCCAGGATGAAGCCGAGAGTTGTAACTCTGGTCTATCACATGGGTGCCAGGGAAAACAGATCTGATCCACCTCCTGCTGCCTTCCACTGTATCAGTAGGAAGTTGAAGTGGGAATAATTCCAAGCATTTCAATACAGTGTGTGACTGTAGCTTAACCTGCCCCTACAACTTTTTTTAAATGTGGGAGACAGGGAAAGAAAATCTTTAAATTCTAGGTTAGGGACAAGATCCTTGGATTTGACACCAAAAGAATGATCCACAAATCGGACTTCATAAAAATTAAGTACCCTGGCTCTACAAAGAACACTGTTACTAAAATGAAAACAAGGCAGGCACTGTGGCACAGCAAGGTAAGCATCCCATAAGGACAGTACAGTAGGAATGGCTATCCAGAGAACGGCACAGCACAAGCAATCCCTACAAACCACAGAACTGTTCTCTACCCTAACTGCCAATATCCAAACCACACTTTCACCACAATACTCCTAAATAACAGTAATGTGAGCGTTAAAAAAAAAAAACACTTGAAAAAATTTTTAAAAATTGCATCAATAGTGAAAAAAACCACGTATCCACATGAATACCATGTGAATGAAATATTTCAAATGAAATATTGGATGTACTAATGAAATACTTGATTATTAAATGCCAAATTTAACTTTCTACTTCAAGTATGAGTGCATGTGGCATTTCCAGTTTCTGGTAAAAGACAACTGATTACAAGTCAAAGCCTAAATTTTCTTAATAAGTTATTAATCCAGTAAGTTATCATGTATCTTTCCTAGCCAAACTCTTCTGGAAGTTTCCTTTCTATATTCTTCATCGATAACATTGAAAACAAATGATTATAGAAGGTAATCAGAGGCAGCTCATTCACCTCCAATGATGAATCCAACTAAGAATACGCCTGTCCTTCTACCATTATACTTGGGTATTTCTCAGCCTTCCAAGTTGTAACTCACTGAGAAAAACAAGATTCTTTGGAATAGTTCACTTCTCATTTCTTCACAAGTCTTCAACTATCTCAACAATTAGTCAAGGTTCAGAACAAAAAGAAACATTCAAAGCCGATTCAAAGAGGTATTCCAGCTATGGTACATGAATTTGGTTTTAGCCTTTTAAAAGTCTACTTCAGCCTTTCTTTTAAAATATCTGAAAATTGGAATCCCATAACATTTAAAGGATAATAATTAAAGCAAGGATTATTTTCTTACAAATGATTTGTTCATGGCACGTTTCACTTCATCAGAACCATCTGAATAAATCTGCTGAAATAATTTGTTTAAAGCTGCATCTCCTTCCAACTTCTCATTCTTCTCCTCTTCTTTGATCTCACCAACCAATTTATCCCAGTTTCTTGTATAATGAGATGATGATGGATATAGGTTCTTTACATCTACAAAGTAAATAAGGCAGAAGTATTAACACATTTTTGATGATGTCATGGTATATAGAGTACGTCAGTAAATTGTTTAGGGCTCTGAACTTCATGTTTATATTAAATGTCTCATTTTGTATACAGATCTGTACCAAGACTTATGCACCTATATTTTAAATTAGCACAACATAACAGTTTATTTTACTCAAAAGATATTCCCAAGTGTAACCTGTTGACACATGACACAATTTACATTAAAAGCAGTTTTCATGTCAATAGGAAAAGCTAGGAAAAAAATATATGTGAATTTTTACACTTCTAGAAAAGTTACAAAACTGAAAAAGCCTTATTTTTTAAAAAAGTTTTTATTAAGAACTGTCTTGTAAATAAAATGTTAATACTAAATATGTAGTTTTTTCTGAGGTACTTACATACCCTTCAGATTAAAATACACCAAATATTATCCTTGCTGCTACCCAACAGTAATTAAGATTTCATCATTTTCCCACATTAAAAACATAAGATTACTTCGGTATAAAAATATGGAACATCTGAGTGTAGAAAATACCACATTTGACAATCAAGACTTCAATGTCCACATTACACATAAATTATGCACACAAATAATTTAAAATATTGTAACAGTAACGGTTTTCATTTTCTAAGCAAGATACAATGCTGACTAAAAATGTGACCTTATAATGTTAAAAATTTTTAAATGCTAATGCCACCTGGCTGTCCAACTTATCATTGATCTTCCTCCTGGCTACTGTGCCTAGAAGGCAGAAGAAGACCCAAGTACTTGGGTTCCAGCCACCCATTTTAAAGACCAGAGTCAGAGTTCCAGTCTCCTGTCTCTGGCCTGGCACAGCCCTGAGCATTTCAGCCAAGGAGGAGTGAACCAGCAGTTGGAAGGTCTCCTTTAATTCCAGTTCCAAATTAAAACCAGTAGCCATTTCAACAGAATCAACAGAAAAATGTGGAATCAACAGAAAAATCAAAGATATTTTATACTGTTTGCCATACTGAGACTGCAAATTCTGGTATATATTTTAACATTCACAACACAGCCCAGTTTTATTTCAGATATACAATAGGTACACAGGGCAAACACATTGTCTATTGGATAACATAGGCACAAAGTTTTAAAAACACCTGGTTCAGGGGCCCAGCGGCATGGCCTAGGGGCTAAAGTCCTCAACTAGAATGCCCCGGGATCCCATATGGGCGCCGGGTCTAATCCCAGCAGCTCCACTTCCCATCCAGCTCCCTGCTTGTGGCTTGGGAAAGCAGTCGAGGATGGCCCAAAGCATTGGGACACTGCACCCATGTGGGATACCCAGAAGAAGTTCCTGGATCCTTGCTTCGGATCAGCATAGCATTGGCCGTTGCGCTCACTTGGGGAGTGAATCATCAGACGGAAGATCTTCCTCTCTGTCTCTCCTCCTCTCTGTATATCTGACTTTCCAATAAATAAATAAATCTTGAAAAAAAAGAAAAAGAAAAAAACCACCTGGTTCAAAATTTCCATCAGTACAAAAACGTTCCTTATGGAAATGGTTTATAATTTCCTCAAATTAGATAGTTTTTTTTTTAAAGATTTATTTATTTTTATTGGAAAGGTGGATATACAGAGAGGAGAGACAGAGAGGAAGATCTTCCGTCCAATGATTCACTCCCCAAGTGAGCGCAACGGTCGATCCGAAGCCAGGAGCCTCTTCCGGGTCTCCCACGGGGGCGCAGGGTCCCAAAGCTTTGGGCCGTCCTCGACTGCTTTCCCAGGCCACAAGCAGGGAGCTGGATGGGAAGAGGGGCCGCCAGGACCAGAACCGGCGCCCATATGAGATCCCGGGCGTTCAAGGCGAGGACCTTAACCACTGCGCCACCGCGCCGGGCCCGAATTAGATAGTTTTTTTAAGATTCATTTATTTTTATTGGAAAGGCAGATATACAGAGAGGAGAGGCAGAGAGGAATATCTTCTGTCCAATGGTTCATTCCCCAAGTGGCAACAGCTGGTGCTGAGCTAATCCGAAGCCAGGAGCTTCTTCCAGGTTTCCCATGTGGGTGCAGGGTCCCACAGCTTTGGGCCATACTCAACTGCATCCTCAACTGCTTTCCCAGGCAGGGATGTGGGTGGGAAGCACGGCTACCGGGATTAGAACCGGCACCCATTCGTGATCCCGGCGCAAACAAGGTGAGGACTTTAACCACTTCCTCTATACCTGCAAACCAGCTTTCTCCCAGCTGAGGAAAATCAGGCAAACGTATTGTTTTAAAAATCCTATCAGCATTTTTCCAGTACAAACTCCCTCTATCTTTGTACATTTTTACTAGTAGCCAAAGAAAACAAATCGTGACAAAATATGTTAAGAGCCTAGGAAACATGGATTTAATTAATCCTAACACTGACTTCTAGAAAAGATGGGAATAGAGGTTTTAATCTCCATTTAACAGATAAGCTGGTCTAGATAAGTTAAAGTGATTTACCCTTATCTCCAGTCTCCAGCTTGCAGTACACAGGAAATCTGACAAGCATATTAATTCTTAACAAAAATATAACAGGAAAGCGAGAACAACATCTTAAAATCTAAGACATTTGGTTTAAAACAAATTATAAATTAAAAACGGGTGAAGAAACTGGCAACGAGATAACTACTGAAAGGTTAAGTGTTTAACTTCCTATTCAAAAAACTGCAAAAGTCATCAAATGGTTATAAAGTACTTAGGTAGAGACTGATTCCTTGATTAGAAAAGAACTCAACAAGCAGTATCACACACAGGGTTAACAGGAGAGTCACACTCAGACTGTAAAGATCTGGATTTTAGTCCTAGACAACAAAACTGCTGGATGATTTTAACCAAGCTGCTTGTGTTTTCTTGCCTTGTATAATAGGAGGAAAGTCCCAAGCTGTGGTTAGAATTAAGCAACACACTACTTTAACTGTCTCTTTTTGAAAATACTCAATCTTGCTGGGCAGAGTTAAGTCTGAGCAGCAGCACAGGTACCTTACTGTGGTTGGGAAAACCTGTGCCGGATAAGGTTTCCTGCTAGGGATTCTAGCTTCCTGTTCACCTGGTTGGGAGCTCTGGGGTCTTGGGAGTATGGAATTATTGCCTAGGGACATCCACGGATGAGGCCAGTGTACGTGGAAGGGAGGTATGAATCTTGAAGGGACACCCAACGACAGACAGGGCCACTGTACTTGCAGGTAAGCAAGGGGACTGAGACCTGGTGGTTTGGAGGGGAGAGACCTAAACATCTTTATGAGTCAGATTGATACACCAGGATACATAGGAGTCCTGGGTTGGGCTTGTTAGCATTGAACACGGCTGATTATTACGTGCCAGTGCACCCACAAGCTATGGCTGGGGGCCTGTCTGGCAAGGCTAGATCCCAATACCTGACACCGAGTGTCAGATGAGGGAATGGGTCACATTAGACTGGGCCTTGACACCAACCAGCATGCAAGAGAACCAGTTCCAGGGGGTGGGGGTGATTCTGTGGTGGATATGTGGGCCCAACCCTATAGAACTGTAAGTTTCTACTGGTTGGCTTCTAAGTTGGAATGGTGATGGGCTGAGCTAGGCGAAACCATGGAAACTCAACAGATACACACTGCTAATGATCACCTTCCGAAGGTATACCCTCCAGCCTTATGGAGAAAATTAAAGGGATCTTACAGTCACCCTTTGAAGCCTGGAGCTTGATCTACCTCCCTTGCTGAGACCCTGCACCTGGGAAGGCCCATAGCCTCCTCCCCCAACTGTGTCCTCACAGACTAGCCTGGCATTAGGAAGACATCTATTTTCCAGTGAGTGGGACACATTCTGGCACCACTGCCATCCTTTGGGGAAGCTGGAGGGCATGCACAGACTTCTTGAGGTCCAGGAGTTATAGGGCCAGACTGCAGTTGGTCTGGATTGCCTTCATCTATTCCAACTTTGAACAGATAGCCCCAAACCAAGGAATTTTGTCTTTTCAATCAGTAATGGGTTAGAACAGCCCAGATGTGGGCAGACTGAACAGTTTCTAACTCTAGGTGAATTCCTTCAGATGCCAACTATGTGACAATTTGGTGTGTTGCACCATCAACATCTCCTGGCCTGACATGTAATCAAGACTGCACAGAGCCAGGCGACTTTATGAACTCTGAGGTGACCACCTAAGGCCTATCTAAACAGCTGATGAGTCATTATCTTTTGTTCCACCTAAAACCTTGAGCAGACACCAAGAAATCAAAGGACTATTTTGGAACTCAGAGCTAAGTTAATAAAATCCACCACTGAGCAGATTCCAACGGTCCCTGTCCCAAGGTCAGCGACTACAATCTCACCGAGTGGGGTTCTGCAGTCCCAACTGTCTTCTACTTTGTTACCACCTTAATAGACTGCTCAGAATTGCTAGAAGCACAACTAAATCTAAAGCCAGATAACTAAAACTTTTCTTTATAAAAATATTTGAAAGGCAGTTTTACAGAGACAGATCTATCTTCTAACTCACTCCTGAAATGCCACAATGACTAACCCTGGGCCAATCCAAAACTAGGAGTTAGGAGCTTCCTCCAAGTTTCTGACATATAGGGGCCTAAGGACCTGGGCCATCCTCAGCTGTTCTCCCAAGCCATTAGCAGGGAGCTAATGTAGCATCTGTATTCCTAAAGTTAAAGAAACTGAAACCTTTTAAGAAAGGTTACTTTGTATTCATTACCAAGCAAACTCATTATACTCAATACATCTTATCAAAGGAAAGTAAGAAAAGCAGATAGAATGTTTATTACTATTTAATTTTAACTAGGGTGTACAATAAATTCAAAATTCAGCAAAGGCCAAAAAACAAACCTGCTATGAATTGTTTTGGTTGAGGAGTATCTCCTTGCCCCTCTAATTTTTCCCATCTCACAGCTTCTGGTTTTTTCATTTTAATTTCAATCTGGAGGAAAATAAAATCCATTATTCAATTTAAAATACATAAAACTAAAAAACAAAACTTACAAAATTTTTGTGTCTTTAAGTTTCCTTAAATTATACAAAGAACTATAAAATAATTTGCTTCTACACCCTTTAATATGCTCATGCTCTATGCGGCTACATGCTCTATGTGGCTACAACAAAGTCTAGAAATCTCCCCAGGCTCTCTCTTTTTTTTTTTTAAAGATTTATTTATTTATTGGAAAGCCAGATATACAGAGAGGAGGAGAGACAGAGAGGAAGATCTTCTGTCCGATGATTCACTCCCCAAGTGAGCACAACGGCCGATGCTATGCCGCTCCAGGAACTTCTTCCGGGTATCCCACACCAGTACAGTGTCCAAGGCTTTGGATCGTCCTCGACTGCCTTCCCAGGCCACAAGCAGGGAGCTGGATGGGAAGTGGAGCTGCTGGGATTAGAACCGGCACCAATATGGCATCCCGGTGCATGCAAGACGAGGACTTTAACCACAAGGCCATGCCGCAGGGCCCTTCACTCTCTTTTAAAACAGCTTTTCCTCAATCAAGTATTGGAGTGCCTGAAAGCTATGTGGCTACTGGCTCCAGATCAGCCCAGTTACAGTCATTGTGGTCACTGTGGATAGCTAACTCTGCATTTCAAGCAAATCAATCTTTAAAAAGAAAATAAAAATTCATTTATTACGCATGTTAATAGAATTTGAATGATATTGTAATCTTGGGGGACCATCAAACTTTGTTCTGTTCCACCTATACAAACAGTTAAAAAAAAAAAAGATACTTTGCTTCCTTCAGAGTTAACATCACAATCCAATTTAGATTATTTTAGTCTATTCCACTGCTTTAACCTAGTGGCTCAACTCCTCGCCTTACATGCACCAGGATTCCATGTAGCCACTGCTTCATAACCTGGCTGCTCCACTTCCCTTCCAGCTCCCTGCTCGTGGTCAGGGAAAGTAGTAGAGAACCACCAAAAGCTGCACCTGCGTCAAAGACCTGGAAGAAGCTCATGGCCTCTGGCCGTTGCAGCCACTTGGGGAATAAAGCAGAAGATGGAAAATCTGTTTCAAAATCTGACTTTCCAAGAAAAATAAATGTTAATAACATAGTATGGTATAAGACTGGTATACAAAAAAAGGAATAATACAAGAGTCAACTTCTACCATTCATTCCCAAGAACTCATGTATCAGCAATCTCCACATGGATCGTATTGGGAAGGACTACAGAGCTTATGTACTCCATAGCTCTCATTTCACAGGTGCTAAAAATTTAGCCCTGGTACAAAGTCAGAAAGTCCAGCATCCCATTGCCTATATTTGTCCAAAGTTTCACTGGGAATCCATCTTTTGTCTAGAAGCAGGGATGCATGTTGCATTATAACAGCAACACTGGGTTACACTTAAATAAGAAACTGATGGGATTATAATTCCTTATGAAGGATTATACCACTGTAGTAAAATATGGAAAATCTGGGTCCAGTGGTGTGGCCTAGAGGCTAAAGTCTTCACCTTCAATGCGCTGGGATCCCATATAGGCGCCAGTTATAATCCCAGCAGCTCCCATCCAGCTTCCCATCCAGCTCCCTACTTGTGGCCTGGGAAAGCAATCGAGGATGGCCAAAGCCTTGGGATCCTGCACCCGTGTGTGAGTCTTAGAAGAAGTTCCTGCTCCTGGCTCAGAAACTGGTTCAGCACTGGCTGTTGTGCTCACTTAGGTAGTGAATCATTGGACAGAACATTTTCCTCTCTGTGTCTCCTCCTCTCTGTATATCTGACTTTGTAATAAAAATAAACACATGTTAAAAAAAAAATGGGGAAGATCTGTCGGGGATGGGAGTTTAGGGAGCAATCCCAGTCCATATGAAATTGTAACACATAATTCAAAAAATCAAAATAAAGAAACATATCTAAAAAATAAAAAAGGATTGAAGCATTAAAAAAAAATTCAGCCCTGTAACCATTTTGTGATGAAGGTAGAAAACCAGAGTCAGATTTTTATTTTCAGTCAATAAATTTCCTGCTAAATTACACTAACACATACATCTTCAGAGTAACACATAATATAATCTCTAAATATTGCTTTTACATATGTTTTATTGGAAATGTAAAGGAATGTAATTTTTAGGCACCCAAAATGTAATTTGGATTCTCATTATTTCCTCAAAATAAACTAAAATTTAAAACTTAGTTTAAAAGAATAGGCATTGTTAGTCACATCTTACAGCTCATTATCTATTTAAAAACACTTCTTAATTGAAATGTATTTATCACAAATATGTAATTGTTGGAATTTTTTTTTAAAGTTTACTGATTTTTCATGTACCAGAATGGCATAGCCATCATGATATTCAGACGGACTAGAAAAGGTGATTTTCCATATGGTAATTCATTCTCCTTATGCGCTGCAACAGTCTGAAAGATGTTACAGACCTGAACGCACAAGGGTCTCCCCAGCTCACTTGCTGCCTCCAATGATGCATTAGTATGGTACCGGGGACAAAGGGTACTAGCCAGAACTCAATTTGGTTTTTCTTTTTTTTTTAAAGGCAGATTTACAGAGAAGGAAACAGATCATCCATTCAGGGTTCACTCCCCAAATGGCTGCAAGGGCTGCAGCTGAGCTAATCCAAAACCAGGAGCTTCTTCTGGGTCTCCCACGTGATTGCAAAAGCCCAAGGCTTCGGGCCATACTCAGTTGCCTTTCAAAGCTACAAGCAGGTAACTTCATGGGAAGTGCAACAGCTAGGACAAAAACCACATCCTTACAGGTACAGGTACAGGTACAGGTACAGGATTAGCTAGCTGAGAAATTGCGCCAACCTCCAGACACCCAAGTAGCAGCTCAGCCCACTCTTCTGTGACTTTCACTTGCCACTACAGTAGAGCTTGGGACATAAAACCTTTGTAATTGAAATCTGCATTTTTTTTGGTCTGTCCCTTTCAGAGATAAGTGACTAAAAAAATCCATAAATTTATAACTCTATAGGCAATTAGTCCACCAGCATTGCTGTGTTTTATGCAAATTACCAGCAATAACTCTTACCTTTGTTGAAAGTACTTTAAATGTGCTCTGTTCTGGAATTATAGAATGAAAAAGCCTCAGTTTCAAACTGTAATCCTCTCCAGAAGGAAGTTTCACCAAAGCAGACAACTAGTGAACAAATATCAAAATCACACTTTTGAAATGTATGTAACAAAGGTTGAAATATTTAATAAATTATTAAAATGCATAATTACAGATTTCAAATCTTTACATGGCATACACCACACAAAAATAACCAAATCCTACCTTACTTCTATCAATCAAGTTGTACTTTGAATGCTAATCACCAAAAAAAGGCTACCAAACTTCAACCTAGTCTGATCTCAAAATTTAGAATGACTTAAGCTTAAAAGCAATGCTTCAGATTTACTCAGTTTCTACATTACTTTTCGAAATCACATAGGTTATTATGAAATACACCAAATAACAGCATTTAATCTCAACATTTAAAAAGATTCAAAACTAATGACCTCTTTTTCTGAAAATTCCACATTTACATCATTCTTCTGAACATTCTTGATCATAAGTGTAATGATTACTTGAGATTCTGTTTGATACCAGTCATACCTATTTAAAAAAAAAAAAAAAGAAACTTAAAACAGCACTTCATCAAAATAAAAATCAGATTGATAAACAGCTCCACCTTGAGGAACAAAATAGCAAAACGGTTGTTGATTTTCAGAAAACGATTTTATGTAACTAATTTTCTATGATCTGTTTTGTATGAATGAAAACCAGTAAAGTTTTCCTCCAAATTTTATAGGAAACCTGAATAGCAAAACAGCTCTTCATTTACAAAAACTATCTGAAGATACTGTCTACTGTCTGTACTAACAGAAAAAAACAAGAAACATTAAGGTGCTAGATAGCCAAACCTTCTCAATTTACTTAAACTTCCATGATTTTTCTGGATTCTGATATTCAGCTGCCAGTTTTTTTTTCACTCTTTCTACATTCACGGGAGTACTACATTCACTTCAATCTAACACTAACAGGAACAGCTCTTTGACAGACAAGAAAATCTAGGGTCAGAAAAGCGACAGTGGTGCAGTGCAACCAGGCGAGAATGAGCAACACTCCAAGCTCTCTTACCTGGAGCCAGCTTCGAACATCCATGAACACATCTAACAGCAGAGAAACCAAATTATAAAGTAAAGTGTAACTTGCTACCAGCCTCAAAATTGTGTACTTCTTCACTCAGTCTCAAGGTAGCCAAGGAGATTAGTATGTCTAGAGAACCCAATTTTGTGTGTTTCACAGTCCTCACTTTTAAAATCTCTGAAGTTGCATGGGAGCAGAACAGTTTATTCTGTCACAGCTAGGATCAAGCATAGTGCCCCACTATAGCTTATCAGATTGTTTAACGCTGCCAAGATTGTAATTTTTATTGATGTTCCCAATACCTGCTGCTGCCACAGTCCCTAGTTCACTTGGGAGTTTTAACAGGCTCATGTTTTAACTCCCCATAAAGAACATAAATGCACTGTTTGATCATTTCTAAATCATTTTCTAATTATTCAAATAAAAATCACTTTAGTTAAATGAACTTTAAGTTTCACAGTTTGGAGCTTGGCATGGTATTCCTTGTGGCTAGGTCCTCACCTTCGACACACCGGGATCCCATTTGGGCACCGGTTCTGATCCTGGCGGCTCTGCTTCCCAACCAGCTCCCTGCTAGAGTGCCTGAGAAAACAGTGGAGGACACCTTGTGACCCTCCACCTATGGCAGGAGACCCAGAAGAGGCTCCTGTCTTTCGATTAGCTCAGCTCTGGCCGTTGAGGCTGCTCAGGGAGTGAATCAGTGGACAGAAGATCTTGCTCAGTCTCTTCTCCTCTCTATGTATCTGATTTTCTAACAAATAAATCTGAGGCCTGGTGCAATAGCCTAGCAGCTAAAGTGTTTGCCTTGCACATGCTAGGATCCCATATGGGAACCAGTTCTAATGCAAGTGGCCCCACCTGCCATCCAGCTACCTGCTTGTGGCCTGGGAAAGCAGGCCAGGATTTCTTTCTACTTTTCTTCCTGTTGTTGACTTTGTATTGTGGCTTTTCATTTAAGAGGATGTATAGTTACTGTGTAATGGAGACTATCATATCCAGATGTGAGAATACAACGTAGTATGCATCTCTACTTCCAGATCAAAGATGGACTCCCAATGAAACTATTACTATATCTTGACAACAGGATGCTGGACTCTTAGTCATATGTTCATCATTGTGGGCATGGACAATGGCAATTTATGAAGTTATACTATAGTAATATAGGGAACTCAGTTGGGGTAGGGAGGAGGGAACATGGGGAGAAGGTAAGGAAAAACTCAGGGCTATGGAAATATATCATAAAATAATAAAAGAAAAAAAATATCATTAGGCTCCAACACAATTCTATGGTAAGGACCTGCTTACTATTAAATCATTTGTTCATGCTTTATGAGTATTTACATTTATGAAGAAACACTTACTTGATTTTTGACTGAGTCCGCTGGGATGCAGACTAATTTGGAAAAAATGAAACAAGAGTTTTTCACATTAGTTTAGCAACTGCATATGTAAATGCACGTATCATTAATGTACTCAGTGAAAGTTTAACAAGGAAGTATATATAAAAATCTTGAAGATAAAGCATAATACAATTGTTAAATACCAGTTTTCACACACAAAAAATCAGAATGTCTTGTATTTTTGTAATATAATTGACTTTAATTTAAAAACTGTTTTCTTTTAGGGTCTAGCATGATAGCCTAGTGGCTGAAATCCTCGCTTTGCATGTACCAGCATCTCATATGAGCATGATTCATATCCCAGTAGTTCCATTTCCCTTCTAGCTCTCTGGTTGAGGCGTGGGAAAGCAGTCGAGGATGGGCAAAAAAGCCTTGGGACCCTGCACTCACGTGGGAGACACAGAAGAAGCTCCTGGCTTTGGATCAACTCAGCTCAGCTCTAGCCACTGTAGCTGTTTGGGGAATGAACCAGTGGATGGAAAATCTTTTGTCTCTCCTTCTCTCTGTAAATCTGACTCTCCCAGAAAATGAACAAATGTTTTAAAACAAATAAAACTTCTTTTAAAATAAAAGAAGAAACAAAAAAACCCTATACGACTAGAAAAGGTCACTTAATAAAATCCCAGTTCTAGGATTTTAAAACAATTTTTAAGAGGAGGGAATTGCCTTTAGGCTTACAATGACATTGAATGATGCTCTGGAACCCACAAAAGAAGATTTCTATGGAGGTTTCCTAGTATTACTTTTTCCATTCATGGCTTCCTTGTTCACACATGGCCTGAGAAAATAATCATTCCTGACTTACCTATTCTTTCCCAAACTACACATATGCAAGTTAACACTATGTCAACCCAAGAACTTGTCCTGGTTCAGAAAGCTACTACACATCATCCCTTAATGTGAAGTGGAGAGATGGGGATTTGGAAGGCCACTTGAAAGCCGACAGTGTAACTAACAATTACACTCCCTAATGTTTTGAAATGAGAAATATCCAAACTTACATCATAAAAAGGGAGATACATTCCAGTTTATCCTAGTAGCAGAATAAAACTAAGCCGAACCACAGCAGTGACACGATTTATTAAGTGTAAACAACTTGTCTGTGCTATTGGACCAACTAGTTGTTATTCAAATACCATTCTGTTGTTTTCAGGTCAAATACAAACCTCATTTAGAGCACATGACACAGCTACTAGCAGGTGAAGGAAGGAAGAATTCTTAAGGACTTCCTACAATCTATTCTCTACTCATTATGTCTGTCTATGGGTAAAGCATGAAGGTCCAAACATGGCTGAGTTCATTTTTATGGACCTTGAAACCCCAGTCAACACATGCACATATATTTTGCATCTAACAATGTGCTTAAAAGCATTAGCTCTTTTAGCCCACGTTTACATATTAAGACATCTCAGGAAACAGTAACGTTATTAATATCCTAATTCTGGAAGACAACAAAATAAGTCTTCTCTAATAAAGTGACTGAAAAGGAATAAGTAACTGCCCATGCAGAAAGGCAAGGACTACACATCGTAGAAGACAACTGAGGAGAGGACAAGGGGAATCCTGGACAGTGTAAAACCACTAAGCAGCTGTGCACCTGAGACAAAGCTCCGGGAACTCATGGCAGAGGTCTGAAGACAGCTGGAATGGAATTGCACAGGCCAGGAACTCCCTAATCCTGAAGCTTGGATAATCGATCCAGAAAAGGTGCTTTTCCTCCGGGATGTTATTTAAATACTGGTAGCCTGCCAACAGAATACATTGTTTACTGTCTTCCCCTTGGATGCCTCCCATACATGCTGTCATGTTTCAGAACCTTGTTCCTTGCCCGCGTGACCCTCGTCTTTAAAAATCCTTTGCTGTCAACAAACTATTGATCATCAGTAGCCCATGTGTATGATTACCGGATCCCTGCCCCAAGTCCCTCACTGCTAGAAAGCAAACAATACACATTATTTTCAGACTCCTTCCTTGTCCATTTACTTCCTGACTAAACACATAGCTGATTGGTTAAAACCTATAAACTACTAGTAACTTTTAGAAGCCCAAGTTCAGTAAAAAATTTAAAATATAAGGGCTGGCACAGTAGCTCAACTTGCTAATCTTCTGCCTGTAAGCACTGGTATTCCATATAGGTTCAGGTTCATGTCCTGACTGCTTCACTTCCAGTCCAGCTCCCTGCCTGCAGCCTGGGAAGAGCAGCGGAGGATGACCCACAGCCTAGGGCCTCTGCACCCATGTGGGAGACCCAGAGAAAGCTTCTGGATCCCAGTTTCAGATCAGCTCAGATCCAGCATTTGCAGCCATTGCAGGGGTAAACCAACAGGTCAAAAACCTCCCTGTCTCCTCTTCTCTCTGTAAATCTGCCTTTCCAATAAAAATAAATGTAAAAAAAACAAAACAACAACAACAAAAAACTTCAATCAATAGTGTTCAACTTCAATGTAACTCTTGCTAACTTAATAATCTGCACATGCAAAGTGACCAAACACTAAGTTAAATAAAAGTATTTTCAATTTTACTTACAGCTGTTGTTAGTCTACCATAAAAGCCTTCTAAATTATTTCAAGTTTGATGACCTTTTATTGAAAAGAATCTTCTTAGCATTATTCCAAAATACCAAAGTAACTGAAACTATATACACTGAATCAAAATAACTCAATTTTTATTATGTTTAAGATTTTATTTTTTTTATCGGAAAAGTAGATATACAGCTAGCAAAGACAGAAAGATCTTCCATCTGCCGTTCAATCCCCAAGTAGTCCCAATGGCCAGAGCTGAGTCGATCTGAAGCCAAGCACCACTTCCAGGTCTCCCATAAGGTTGTAGGCGCCTAAAGCCTTGGGCCATCCTTGACTGCTTTCTCAAGCTACAAACAGGGATCTAGACAGGGAAGTGGCACAGCCAAGATATGAACCGGTGCCCATATGGGATTCCAGCACATGCAAGGCTAGGATTTAATTAGGCATTTGCACTGGGCCATAAATGTCTATTTCATCAATATTACTTTACTTTAGCCAGTAAAGAAAGCAATGTTTAAGAGGAATTAATTCTGTACCCACAAACAGGTCATCCTAAGCCCAGTTTCAACTATATTGTATGCATGAAATTTAAGTAACTAAAAACATGAGGGAAAAAAACTTGGGACTTACCACCTCAGATTCTGATCCTATTATAATAGGGGAAAAAAACAAACACATTTTCAGATAGCGCATATATAAGCAAAGCTACACTGATGACTTCTATGGCATAGATACACCCATATAACAGCTCAAACAAGTTGGCTGAATTGTGCATTCCAAAATAATTTTAAACTATTTAGTGATTTCTTACTGGTAATGCCATGATATACAAAGCAAATTCGCCCAAATCTTTTTAAGAAACAAGGAAATAAACCATGTATCTACTTACATCTAAGTTATCATGGGCTACTAAAATTAAAATTTTTAAAAAGTTTGTCTAAATCCAAGTTTCAAACATTCACTTCTTTTTCAATTCAAAGACCACAGAAAACCTACAAAAAATACTGACCATTCTGAGCTTCTTCACACCTTTTAATCCAGACAATGAAATCAGCATCTGCACCTGGAGAAAGAGATCTGACTGTAACAACATTCATCTGCATCGACCAAAACTTACTGACAATCACTATGTCCTAAGACACTGTTCTAGGTACTGAGAATTCACTCAGTAAAACAAGCACACACTTTAATAGATTATCCTATCTTACTGTTACATCCTTGTTCATCATTAAAAAAAAAACAAACCTCTAGCCTTACTGCGTTTTCCAGATAGAAACAATCTACATTTCCTCCCACCCTCCTGCTCTTGATGGAGTTTTCTCTCACATACTCAAGAAATCAATTAAACAAGGATGAGGTGGAATCCTGCCAACTGGTAGTTTAGTTGAGGCTGAGAAGCCTCTCTTGATCTCAACTTGCAATCAGTGCAGCTACCTCATCAACCTACATGTTCTGGTAGTGGCTTTTCTTGTTGCCACGCCTATCCAATCAACACCAGGAACTGTCCTTGGTTTCGTCACATCTCTAAAGCTACACGGCAGAAGGGACATTATTAAGACAGCAAGATGAAACAAGATGAGTCTGAGGCTCCCATTTTGGCACGAGTTAACCTAAGTGGGCACTGGCTTAGTCCTGGCTGCTCCACTTTTAATTCAGCTCTCCACTAATGTGCCTTGAGAAAGCAATGGAAGATGGCCCAACTATTTCAGCCTCTGACACCCATGTGGAAGATTCAAATGGAGTTCCAGGCTTGTGGATACAACCTGGCCCAGCCCTGGCCACTGAGGCTGTCTGGAGAGTAAACTAGCAGAATGATAATCTGCAAGTGTGTGTGCAACTTACAAATAAGTTAGTTAATTAAACAGAAAAGCTGACAGGCTGGGCAGTTGATGCAGTAGTTAAGATTCTCCTACTTGAGCCCAGCGCTGTGGCCTCGCAGCCAAAGTCCTCACCTTGAACGCATTAGGATCCCATATGGGTGCTGGTTCTAATCCCATCCCACTGCTTGTGGCCTGGGAAAGCAGTTGAAGACAGCCCAAAGCCTTGGGACCCTGCACGCATGTGGGAGACTTGGAAGAAGTTCCTGGCTGCTGGCTTTGGATCGGCGTAGCACCGGCCGTTGCGCTCACTTGGGGGATGAGTCATCAGATGAAGATCTTCCTCTCTATCTCTCCTCCTCTCTGTATATCTGACTTTCCAATAAAAATAAAATAAATCTTTAAAAAACACTTCTGCTCATAATCCTTGCATCACCTATCAAAGTGTCTCCATGATCCCTACTCCAGGTTCCCCTGCACCATGGAAGGTATGAGAAGATGGCTTAAGTGTTTGGGAAATTTCAACTAAACTCTCAGCTTCATCCTGGCCCAGTCATTTTACAGAAATTTGGAAAATGAACCAGAAAATGGTGCCTTTTATATACAAAGATAAATACACATTTCTTCCAGCAAGAAACACTAAAATCCACTCAAATTGATTGTAACATGTTTTCCATGAAATTTCTGAAGATTCCTTCTCACGTTCTTAACATCTGTATTACTTTTGTACTTTCATAATTTAACCATACTTACACATCACCTCTCTATTCAAGACTGCTGTAACATTTTCATCTCTGCAATCTAACATTTAAAATAATCTTTGGAACAAGGAAACCAATTATCACATTTTATTTTGTCCATTAAAAAATAAATCCAGGGCCCGGCGCGGTGGCGCAAGTGGTTAAAGGTCCTCGCCTTGCATGCCCGGGATCCCATATGGGCGCCAGTTCTAATCCCGGCAGCCCCGCTTCCCTTCCAGCTCCCTGCCTGTGGCCCGGGAAAGCAGTTGAGGACGGCCCAAAGCTTTGGGACCCTGCACCCGCGTGGGAGACCCGGAAGAGGCTCCTGGCTTCGGATCGGCATAGTATCGACCCGTTGCGCTCACTTGGGGAGTGAATCATCGGACGGAAGATCTTCCTCTCTGTCTCTCCTCTCTGTACATCCGCCTTTCCAATATAAAAATAATAAAAATAAATCTTTAAAAAAAAAAATAAATCCAGACTAAGTAGGGAGTACACTAACTTTTTATGTGGCTTTTGGCTTCTCATGGGAACAGTATCTAATTCAAATGCTAAAGGACAATTTAATCAACCTAAGTGAATTCAAAATCTGCAATCAACATGAAATGTCACCAAAGAGAAAAAAATAGATGCTGAGTTTCTACAATTACTCGTGATTACGGCAGCAAAATGCAACATGGTATTTAAGATGAGGAAATAATAGATTAATTTTAATGATTAAAATACAAGTCTCAATTTATACTTACTATGTAACTTCTGACCTTCTGCAAAAGTCTCTAAAGCAGCGGCATAATTTTTCTCATGGTATTCACATATCCTGTATCAACACACATATGAAAAATAAATGAACACACAAGGTCATGAAAAACTGCCTTGTGAATGAAGAAACATGATCTTCTGCAGTGTTGAAAATGTAGTCAAGATATTCTCTGTAATACAATACTTTATGTACTTATTTCAAAATATAATTTAAGGGATTTTTTACATGAGGTAGTCATTTATCAGAAGGCAAAACAAACTGGTTTTAACAAACACAGGTAACATAGGTACAGTGCTTTCACATTACAGCTCATTCAGCTTGGTTGAAGAATAAAGTCCTCGTCAATCCAATGCAGTAAATTCCAAACGATAAAAGACATGAAATTTCAGTTACTTCATTCTTCACTACCTAAACACACGCTACCTATCTCCTATCACATACTGCAGATACTACATCAAAACTGGTAAGTTTTATTTAAGATTGTATCTGAGCTATGAAATATATACACAACTCTATGTAAGGCTTACACTTAATTCATTCAGATTAAACACCTGTTACAGAGTCCATGCCAAAGAAAGAGCAATTTTTTCATACCCTTTTCTCAGCAGAGCAGTGGAATTATTGGGATCAAGTCTGAGAGATTTCTTTGCATCAGCTACAGCATCTGTATACAAAAGATGGGTTTTCAGACCATTTAATCCACAGGTCCCAGCACATACTAATACAAAATCTAAATCCAAGTTAGAATTAAAGTTTTCAAGTTGGTACAAGGCCATTTTTAAATTGGGAAATGCAATCAATAGACAATTCAACTAAATAGTACACTCCTACTTTCCCTAGTGGCCAAATATTTTAACAGGTTCCTAAAGCTTTTCAGTCAATGAGCAAAAGTTCTGTGTCAGAGTTCATCAGCCGTTTTCATTACGAGTTCACTGAGTTTTAACCCACCCAAGCAGAATAACTTTAAAAGATATACAATACAGAAATATGTATTTTTTTTAAATTATTTTTATTGGAAAGGCCAGATATAGAGAGAAGAGACAGAGAAAAATTTTTCCATCCAGTGATTTACTCCCCAAGGGGTTTCAATGGCTGGAGCTGAGCCAGGAGCCCGGTGCCTCTTCTGGGTCTCCCACATGGATGCAGGGTCCCAAGGCTTTGGGCCACCATCAACTGCTTTCCCAGGGCTCAAGCAGGAGATGGAAAGGAAAGCAGGGCCACCAGGATGAGAACCAACGCCCACACGGGATGCCATGCATGTTCAGATGTAGACTTTAGCCACTAGGCTACCAAACCTAGTGAAATGTATGTATGCTTCACTTGATCTTAGCCAAAAAGCTGAGAAGCAATCTGAAAAGTATTCTGAAATGTATGCTTCACTTGATCTTAGCCAAAAAGCTGAGAAGCAATCTGAAAAGTATTCTGAAATAACAAATACATACAGGGCCCAGTGGTAGCCTAGCGACTAAAGTCATAGCCTTGCACACACCAGGATCCCATATGGTGATGTTCTGGCTGATCCACTTCCCATCCAGCTCCCTGCTTGCAGCCTGGGAAAGAGGTCGAGGATGACCCAAAGCCTTGGGACCCTGCACCTTGTGGGAGACCTGAAGAAGCTCCTGGGTCCTAGCTTCGGATAGGCGCGGCTCCAGCCATTGTGGCTGCTTGGGGAGTGAACCAATGGATGGAAGATTTTCCTCTCTGATTCTCCTTCTCTCTGTAAATCTTTCAATAAAAACAAATAAATCTTAAAACATAACAAATGCATTACAACATTATCCATAGAAAATTCTGTGAAATATTAAATATTACGCTTCTCTTCATCAGTGTATCCACTAATGACAAAATTGAAAAATTCTGTTCCCTTTGAACAAAGATATCCACAAAATTTAAATGGTGGTTATTCAACATGTTTGCTAAGCCTGGATTACTTCTTCACTTTGTTGCAGAGATAATAACCTGACACATCTTGTATTGGACAACATTTATAAGTAATTTAGAAAATATACTTTGTAAGAAAATTTACCACAGTAATTCCCAAGAAGAATGTAACAATAAGCTCTTTGACAATAATACTGTGCATCATCCGGTTTCTGCTCCAACGCCTTTGTCAGCTCCTACAAACACAAACATGTTGAATTCCAATTAAAATAATATTTTTAATCAAGTAATCTATTTCACATTATATGAAGGAAAGATAACAGAGAAACAAGTTTAGAGGCTTTCCTTGTAAGATGACTATCTTCCCTTCTCTTGCATCCATCCGAAAGCATACTATCCACGTAAAAACACCGAGCAACCCCAAGCTCGTAATATGAACACAATAAAGGATAACCACTATCACCTGATCTATTCTGGGAAGTGAAGCTGATATAGATTAGCCAGCACAAACCTTATTTGGAGAAGACGCCAAATGTCATGTCAGCACTTAAGATGCCTGAAAAATGTGTAGCTGTTCAATAAAAAATAACTGGAAGTTAAGACTGAGCGCACTGCTACCTGGGCCTCCTCTGTTCTTTCAGTGATAAACAGCCCAACAGACTACAACAATCTGTTCAAAGTTCAGATGCAACCTCGCAACCAGTATCAACAGACCAATAGTTAACACTGGAATTAAAACTTGTGCTAGTCTGCGAAATCGCCATACTAAGTAGTCACTAGAACAACAGTGATCCAACAAGAATTCACACAATTAGTGAGGCCGATATCTGATGCACTGCACATACTTTACTAGCTCCACAAGTAAACTAGTGAAACAAGCCTTACAAAACAATGCACCAGGGAAAACATATCTAAATTCCCAATCGCCTTTCACATTAACCCACTGCCTTGTTTCAAGCAGCAATGTCAGTAAGACCTGAGTTCTCTGTACAACTCCCAATACCTTTCTTTCCTGCTGTATCTGAGCAAAACCCCAACCCCTTCATACATACAGGGTCCCTTGCATGATCCTCCCTCCTTACTCCTGTCCCTTTGCCTCGTTCTAGCCACACAGCTCCTCAAACACTGCAGTACTCTGCATCTGCTGTTCCCTCAGAATGCCCGTCCCCCAGACCTGCAGGGAGCATTCACTCACGCTTCCTGGCTACTGACAAGCCTGTACCTGAGAGAAAACACAAGTCTGACTGACTTCAAAGCAGATTTTAACCAAATATTTGCTTCTATTTACCTTTATTTACCCCAAGTTTCCCTAACATCTGGATTGATACTTTCTTGTATTTAAGCTAAATAACATTTTACACCAAACTTAAAATTCTGACTTTAGCACACTGCTTCTTACACATTTACTCAAATATATTTTCAGACATCTAGTCTCAGAAGAAAACAAATTATGGTCAAAAACACTATCACAGGTTATATTAATACTTCAATTATCACTTCAAAAACTATTTTTAAAAACATATCAGGCCCGGTGGTGTGGCCTACCAGTTACAAGTCCTGGCCTTGAACGCCCCAGGATCCCATGCGGGTGCCGGTTCTAATCCCAGCAGCTCCACTTCCCATCCAGCTCCCTGCTTGTGGCCTGGGAAAGCAGTCGAAGACGTTTCCAAAGCCTTGGGATCCTGCACCCGCATGAGACCTGGAAGAAGTTCCTGGTTCCCGGCTTCGTATCGGCGCAGCACTGGCTGTTGTGCTCACTTGGGGAGTGAATCATTGGACGGAAGATCTTTCTGTCTCTCCTCCTCTCTATATATCCGACTTTATAATAAAAAATAAATCTTAAAAAAAAAAGACATGTCAGACCAAAACCAGACACAGGGATGTAATACACACAACAGCAATTTTAAAGACAGACACACACGTATTTGCTCTCTGCTACAACACAAAGAAACTAAATGCAAGTTTCTGTAAAGGCAAGGTTTTCAGTGCCAACAACTTGATCACAGTGGCAAGATTTGTGTTAAATACATTTTAAACAAGTTAGTTGTAGCTCTCAAAAACAGATACCTAGAGATACTATTATACAGAAATCCTTACTGTGACAATGGTGAAGGAGCCAGTACCTCAGTCTGATTTCATGGCCATCTAGCAATCCCCAGCCATAGATAACACAAGACTAGCAACACTTCTTCCACCAACTACCTAGCACTGTTGGAGGGAGGGAGGGATATAAACAATCCCATATAACCTTATAGAACTGGTACCGTAACAAGTTTCCTAATTGCAGCTGAACTCTCAAAACCATTGTCATATCATCTGATCTCTCCAACTGGCTTTGATTCCTCAGAAATGCAGAAACATGCCTGTCTCCAAGCTGTACAACCAAGAGCAAGTTAACCTTTAGCCTCAGCTTCTGAACCACTAGAAGGCAAATAATGCCCACTAGTGGTCACTTAACACATCTGAGTGCCTTCTATAACCCACAAACTACACTGATAAACAGGATAAATGCAATCCTGCTGTCCTGAAGCTTGCATTCAGAATTTAGATTTACACAGAAAAGCTGTCTTCTCCAAGTGTTATTTCAGCTGAAATGTAGAGATAAGCTTCCCCAAGTAAAACAGATCAAGAATGGGAATAATGCAGGCAAATGAAACAGCAAGACCAAAGGTACTAGGATTGAGCTCAACACACAGCAACAGAAAAAGACAAGCTCTACTTGATGTAGAAGGTGAAGAACAAGATGTCTGCCTCCACTCTTACAGCCAGGCAGCTTGGACCTTAAGTGGGATACAAACGTTTCTTTTTAACAGTTCAAACTACATTTTAAAAATGTCATTCTGGCTGTTGCATGACAAACACATTACAACAGCAGGATTAGAAACAAAGATTTCTCAGGAAAGTCTATGTAAGTTCAGGCTGTGAGTGGGTGGTACAAGCAATCAGGAGCAGTGTGAGCTGGAATGTATTAGAACCAGCAGGTCTGGCATGGGGTAAACACAGGGAATGAGACCAGGAGGACTCCAGGGTTTTGGGCTTTCTTTAGATTTTTATCTGGCACTCAGAGGCAATGGAAGCTACCAGTTTCTCTCCTTAGACTTTTGTACTTGCTCTCATTTCTTTTCCTATAAACTAAAAACCAGTTGCCTCTCTAGTCACAACCTTCTAAAATTACAAATAGCTCCTGATTATCAATCCAGTTAACTCCTCCCTGACTTGACTTGATCTTGTCCTAACAGTGACCAGACCTTTTAGTCTAACATTCTGCTAGCCTCCCAAAACCTAACATTTCCAGGACTGGTACTGTGCCTAACAAGCTAATTCTGTCTGTAGAGCTGGCCTACCATATGGGCACTGGTTCTTGTCCTGACTGCTCCACATCCAATTCAGCTTTGTTTACAGCATGGGAAAGCCATGGAGGATAGTTCAAGTCCTGGGGATCCTGCACCCACATGAAACTTTTTTTTAAATTATAGTTTTGACAATCTTTACATAGTTAATTAGGGTAAAAAGGTACAAGGGCTATAGGAAAGTGGATAAGACTATTATTTCCATATTGTTTCCTTCATATATGTGAGGTAAAGGGGATACTGAGGGAGAAGCTCCACCCAGCTTCCCACCCACCCCAGGTCCTGGATGTGGGGCATGCTCTGAGATACTTGTTCAAGACCCACATGAGACTTGAAAAGAAGCTCCTGGATTCAAATTGGCTCAGTTCCAGCTGCCATCTGGAGACTGAACAAGTAGACGGAAGATCTGTCTCTCCTCTCTGTTGTTCTGCCTTTCCAATAAAAATAAATCTTAAAAAAAACAAAAACACAACAAAAACCTAATGAACATTATCCTATGGTATAGCACTTCCAGCTTCCTCTGGTAGCATTCTTCTTCACTCCTGCTAACTGCCCAGGACATCACACCATGTTAATGCATACTTGTCACAAATCTGTCTTGAACTGCGGCAGTGATCTGGGCTAGGGCAAATCCTTAACAGTGCCTGGCAGTGAACCCATTCACTAGGATGCCCATGGCCCTCATCTGAGCTCCACCTGGGAGGTGCTGCGGAAGGCTCAACTAACTAGATCCTGCCTCCCAAACATGCGACACCTGCAGCAGAGTTTCTGGCTCTTACCCTGCCCACTCGCTGGTTGGTCACCACGGGCCTGGGAGGAATGAACAGAGGATGAAAGTTCTCTTAAATTAAAAAACATGTAAAAATTGTGAACAGACAAAACCATCTTCACCCCTCAAATAGTTCCCTATCCTGAATGCAATCTTTTATTAGTGAATAATACCAACTACAATATTCTGTAAGCCAAAACTACCAGAAACACCCCTGAGTCTGGGGAATTTTATATACATATAAAAAATTCCCCTCCGTGATCTCAATTAATGCCCCAGATGCCAACATCCATCTTTTACCTGACCCATTCCCAAGTTATTGATCATTTCTTGGGTCGATTCCAATCCCCATCAGGTTTTATAATCCAGATCACCTTCTGTCCCTCTAAATTCTCACTTACGTGAAAGGCAGAGTTACAGAGAGAGGTAGAAAGATCTTTCTGCCAGTACTTTACTCCCAGCTACAACAGCTACAGCTGAGCCAGGCTAAAACCAAAAACTTCACTTGGGTTTCTTGACAGTGGTGGCAAGGGCCCAAGCACTTCGACCATTACCCACTTTCCCTAGGCCATTACCAGGGAGCTGGATCAGAAGCAAAGTGGGCAGGATATGAACTGAATAAGAGCCCAGATGAGCCAGCATTGCACGTTATAGCTTTACACACTAAGCCACAACCTTGGCCCCCACAGCTTCTATATTCTGTATTGACCTGCCAGACCACATGATACAATTTAAGACCCTAAGGACCTAATGTTGCAGATTAACAGGTTAAGCCACGTTGTATGCATTGCTCACATCCCAAAGCGATGTTGGTTTGAGATCCTCTGCTCTCCTTCCCATTCAGATTCTCATGTGCCTGGGAAAGTAGTGGAAGGTGGTTCAGTTTCTTGTGTTCCTGTACCCACATGAGAGCATGGGATTAAGTTCCCGACTCCTGGCTTTGGCCTGACCCAGTCCCAACTGTTGCAGTCATCTGAGGAGTGGACAAGCAGAAGAACCAAACGGCCACAATGAAGTCAGGAGTCCAGAATTCCATCTGGATCTCCTCAGGTGGCAGCAGCGGCCCAAGGACCTGAGCTATCATCTGCAGCTTCCTGGGTGTATTACCAGGGAGCTAGACTGGAAGCAGAGCAGGACGCATTCACATCAGTACTCACCGAGATGCCAGTACTGCCAGCTCCAAGAAGATACATTTCTAACAAGTTGATGCTATAATTAGTCTTGGGGCTGACACAGTGGCATAGCTAGCTAAGCCTCCACATGAAAGCATCAGTGTCTCATGTGGGCACCAGTTCATGTACTGGGTGCTCCACTTCTGACCCACTTCTTGGCTTGTGGCCTGGGAAAGCAACAGAGGATGGACTGAGTCCTTGGGCCAGTCCATCCACATGGGAGGAGGCTCCTTGCTCCAATCAGCTCAGCTCTGGCTGTCAGGGCCATTTGGGGAATAAACCAGCAGATATAGAAGCACTTTCAATCTCTCCCTCTCTGTAAAAATCTTTTAAATTTGAAAATAAAAAGGAAATGTTCCCTAAAGCCCCCATTCTTAAAAAAAAAAAAATAAATAGACATAGATCTGTTTATGTATTAGAAAGCCAGAGCTGGGGGTTGGGATAGAGGTAGAGAGACATGTTCATCCACTGGTTACCCGGGCCAGCTGAGAGCCTCAAGTTCCTTCCAGGTTTCCCAAATGAGTACAAGGGTCCCCTCATTTCAGCCATCCACTGCTACTTTCCCAGGCACATTAGCAGGGAACAGGATTAGAAGTGAAATAGCCAGGGCTTGAACTGGCACACTATGGGATGCCAGCAACACAGACTGTGGCTTGCTTTACCTGCTATGCCAGAGCACTGGCCCCTTAGACTGTCATTCTGCCTCTACTTGACTGCATGTATGTCTCCAGGACAGCTCACATGGATTACTTTGGGTCTTGGTTTCCTTCCATCCTTTGTAAAAAGGGTAAGTAAGAAGTACTGGACTGTAGAAATTGTAAAAACATTTAATAACTCACATTTCTAATGATTTTCCAGGTCATGCTGAAACTGTTAATCCAAACACACAGAAAACACACACACACATACGAAGAACTCTCAGCTGTACATACAACCAAGAGAAAATGCTTATCAAAGCCCATGTGCTCCTTAGTATTCATAGTGGTTTTATTTGCATTAGTAACTATAATGACCCACACTTTCAGTTTTAGAATAAACTGTTCCACGTAACAGAACAGTATACACCAATGAAAATGAACTAGCACTTCACACCACAATGTATATACATACTGCAATCCAATCTAAACAGCAGGACCGACATTTTCAACACAGCACCTACTGTATGATTCTGTTTATGAATAGAGCAAGATCAAATACCAGTAACTGATGCTGATGGAAGTCCCCCTGGAAGTCAGTAGTTAAGTAAGGGAAGTTCTGTGGATGGAAATGCTCTGTATCTTGACCTAGCTACAGCACACATGCAAAAGCTCATCAACCTACAGACTTACAACCTGTTACCGACAGATATCACACCTCAGTAAGTTTTAAAAAGGAAGATAGCATATAATTTGACAGTGAAATTCATTACATCAATATCTTTAAAAGCAACTTTTTATAAAATGGATTTTTTTTAAAGATTTATTTATTTATTAGAAAGTCAGATATACAGAAAGGAGGACAGACAGAAAGATCTTCCGTCCAATGGTTCACTCCCCAAGTGAGCGCAACAGCCAATGCTATGCCAATCCAAAGCCAGGAGCCAGGAACTTCTTCCACGTCTCCCGCACGGGTGCAGGGTCCGAAAGCTTTTGGGCCATCCTTGACTGCTTTCCCAGGCCACAAGCAGGGAGCTGGATGGAAAGTGGAGCTGCCGGGATCAGAACCGGCACCCATATGGGATCCCGGCATGTTCAAGGTAAGGACTTTAGCCGCTAGGCCACGCCGCAGGGCCCATAAAATGGATTTTTAAAGACTCAGAAGACACCTATCTAGAATTGTGGGATCAAAATTCTAAATGCTTCCTCAAACAGTAGCATCCAGTACCAATACTTCCAGAAGCCTTCATCATCTGATTTGAAATCTTTATAGGCAGAATCGAAAAGCACTATCAGACCTAGTCTCTGATTTCCAGCCCAACCTGCTTGTGAGAGCCCAGCCAAGAGAAAATGGTGGCAGTAAGGTTAGGTGAGATCTTCCAAAGCATTTCTGGGCTGTGTCCTTAATCTGACCTCTACCTTGACCTTGGGGCGTTGAAAGCCCCTAAGGGAAGGGAATAAGCTTATCAAAAGATTGTGGCAATTCCAGTTAAGATCTAGCTTTTAAAGGTCAGGCAGTTGTTTTCTGCAAATAGAATTGGGAGGATCTATTTGCATAGTTCTGTTGTTCACTACTAGGTAGAACTCTTGACTGAATAAAGTGCACTATGCTTAATACAGGTGTACACCACAGCAACTGACTGGGTAATTTGTTGTGTGCTAATGTTAACGTGCCTGATTTGCACCATGTGCCAGTGCTCTCTAGTTGCTTAAGAACCACTGAACAGGCACCTTGTAGTAGCCTAGTATACACCCTGCGATCCTGTATGAGTGCCTGTTCATGTCCTGCTTCACTTCCCTTTAGCTCCCTGCTTGTGGCCTGGGAAAGCAGCAGAGGATGGCCCAAAGCCTTAGGACCATGCCCCTGTGTGAGAGATCTGGAAGGAGCTACTGGCTCAGCTCTAGTTGTTGCAGTTACTTGGTGAGTGAATCAGATGTAATATCTTGCAATATATTTGTCTCTCCTCTGTAAATCTGACATCAAGAAATACAAATCTTAAAAACAAAAAACAAAACAAAACAACCCTGCCCATGAATGATCAGCTCCCCTCTTCCACTTGTAGTTCCCTGAGACAGTCAATTGGCCAGTGGAAAAAAGACCGTGAGTCTACCTCCCACTCATTCTAGGGCCAGAACACTCAGCTCTCAACACTTCTTTCTTCCCCCCTTTCATCCACTATAACCATACATGTCTATATGCCTCCTGGAATAGACAACTGACCCTACCCCAGATTCTTCTTCCAGCCTGGCATACCCCTTCCAGAGCACCCAAGCTCATCCTTCTTTTAATTGTCACGTCAAATTTCACCTCCTAAGACTTTTAACATTTGGGGACAAATACCATTTCGAAATCAGAGCTAGGAAAAACGCTCTCTGGCCTCAAACTGTTAACCTTATATATATATGTTCAAGAGTAACACTGTAGGGCTGGCATGGTAGCCTAGCGGCTCAAGTCCTTGCACATGCCAAGATCCCATAGAGGCACCAATTTGTGTCCCAGCTGCTCCACTTTCCATCCAGCTCCCTGTCTGTGGCCTAGAAGAAACAGTAGGGGATAGCCCAAAGTCTTGGGACCCCACACCCACATGGGAGACCCAGAGCAAACTCCTGGCTACTGACTTCGACCTGGTGCAGCTCTGGCCGTTGCGGCCACAAGTGGAGGGTACCAGCGGACACAAGATCTTTCTCCATCACCTTCTCTCTGTAAATCTGCCTTTCTAATAAGTCTTTATAAATAAACAAAAAACACTAACAATTTCATCTTCTGTGCTTATAAGAATTTCCTGTTTTAGGGCCTGGCGAGGTGGCCTAGCGGCTAAAGTTCTCGCCTTAAATAGTCCAAGATCCCATACAGGTGCTGGTTCTAATCCAGCTGGCCCCACTTTACATCCAACTCTCTGCTTCTTGCCTGAGAAAGCAGTAGAGGACAGCCCAAAGTCTTGGGATCCTGACCCCGAGTGGCAAATCTGGGAAGAGGCTCCTAGCTTCAGATTGGTTCATCTCCTGCTATAGTGGTCACTTGGGGAGTGGCCAACTCTGTCTCTCCTCCTTCTTACATCTGACTTTGCAATAAAAATAAACCTTAAAAATTTTTTTCCAGCTTAATTTGTAACCCTTGACACCTGCAGCGTGGGCTCTGTGATTACTTAACTGCCACTTTCACACCTCTTTACAGCTTAATCCTTCTTCCACCTGCCCCGGAACAACGTACTTCCTTAAACATACACGGTAAAAGCCCAAAGCAATTCTCACCTTGCACAAAACCAACATTTTCCGATGAACAAAGCAGTTAGGACTGAACAATCACAGGACATTTGAAAAGTTTCAAGGACATGAAACTTTCTGGAGATCTTCACACAGACCCGACAATACAGGGCTCAGTCCGTAACAGGATGAGCGTCAAACGAAAAAGCAACCCAAGCCCAGATTTCACTCTCCTAGTCATAGATGTCAATTTTCTTAAAAAGCTATCATGCACAGCACGCCTGCAAGAGAACACCTGTTTCTCGTTCTGAAGAAGCCAAGGAATTGGGGCAGACTGGGAGGGCGAAAGGCGAGCACAGGAGTGCGAGGTAACGGGTCCAATGTAGAACCGTGGACCCCAGTACTGGTGCAGACAGTCCCAACAGCAGCCTCGAACCCGGGAGAGCCGGGAGCAGGGAGAAGCAACCCCTGAGGGAGAATGGAGACGGTAGGAGCGGGTTCTCACCTCTAACGCCGCCTGGGGGTCCTTATCCACCAGAGCATCTGGGAAGGTCTGGGGAAACCTGCTAGGAAGAGAGCACAGTTCACTAACCGAGGGAAAGGAGAAATCAATAAAGAGCAAAATAAAGGAGGAGCAAAAACGCAACGCACGTCTGGGGTATTGCAGGTCCTCCTGCAGCTGCCGCCATCCCTGGTAGTCACCGTGGCTACCGCGGCTCCAGAACCGACCGCCGCCGCCCAGGGGGAAACTTCTGGAGAAACACCCACCGAGCTTCCGTCCTAAGTAGCCAATGAGCGGCCGCGCAGCGCTGCGCGGGGGGCAGGGGCGGGGCCAGCGGCGCAGGGCCGGCCGGGAAGGTGGAGGACTGTGGCCGCGGGCCCTGGCTCCGCCCATCAAGGCCTCCGTTGGCCATGGCCGCCCTCTCCGCGTGCCGAGGCCGCCCCGTGCCCTCCGCCGGGCGTCAGGAGTGGCAGCTCACAAGGGTGTTTTGTGACCTAGTGTGGACCCGCCAGGTGTGTCGACGTCTGGTGGAGGGAGCGCGGGAAGCGTGGGCGCGTAGGGTCACAGTGAGCTACATTCCTATCATGGCTACCGCGGGGCGACCAAGTTTTTCGTGCCATGACGTCATTCGAGGCTGCGTCGTTTTTTCCGGGAGCCGAGTCCCGGATGCCGCTTGCTTTCTCGTGATCCAATCGCTGAGAGGCTAAGGTGCCGGAAGCTGTTTTGCCCTTACCGAGCTTAAGAAGGGAAGGAAACTTCTGGTTCCCGGGTCAATGTATTGGTCCCAGTGTACTGTTCGATCCTTGTAGGGTTTCTTTCATGTCAGTTTCCCAGACTAAGAGAAAAAAAGAACTTTTCCATTTGAAGGCAGGTGAGAAGAGGCCCGCCCCGCTGCCCTTGGACCTTTGCAGGCCTGAGAGTGAAGCTTCCGTCAAGTTCCACAGGATACAGGGGGCAGCGGGAAGCAGTGAAATTGAGAGGTACTAGCAGCTAACATTTGTAGCGTCTGCACTGTGTCTAAACTAATCCTTTTACTGCCTTCAAAGAGCTGAAACTAAGCCTATTCTAAGCAATTCAGGAGGAGCACCTAATTGAATATCAGGTATGGAGATTGTGTCCTTAAAGATACAAGGCCTGAGCTCGCCTCCAGAGATTAATGAATTCATTGATGAAAGATGGGAAAAGGCAATTCAGATAACAAAAACGGAGTGCTTGAAAACTTAACATGCTCTTAATTTTTTTTAAAGGAAATTTTCTTTTCTTTTTTTTTTAAAGAAGTTTTTGGAAAGGCAGATACACAGAGAGGAGGAAAGATAGAGAGAAACCCTGTTCCACCGACTGGGTAATTCCCACAAGCGGCTGCAACAGCCAGAGCCAAGCTGATCCGAAGCTAGGAGGCAGGAACTTCTTCCGGGTCTCCATGTGGGTGTGGGGTCCCAAGATTTTGGGCTATCTTCTGCTTTCCCAGGCCACAAGCAGGGAGCTGGATGGGACGTGGGCACCTGAGACATGAACCAGTGCCCATATGATATCCTGGTGTGTGCAAGGTGAGGACTTTATCCACGAGGCTACGGTGCTAGGCCCTTGCTCTCAAGTTTATAGAGCTAAATTCAAGTGAAAGAAACAACATTAGACTGGAGAGGTAGATAGGCCAGGTTGTAAGAGCTGCTTCGGGTATGCTCAGAAGCTTGGGTGCTTCAGTGATGTTGATACAGTGTGTGATACAGGATTTTTAATTACAGAAGGCAGGCTAGATTTGCATGCTTTAGGTATGTCACTATTGTGAGAGAAAAGAAGTTGAGAGCCTGGCACACTAGCCTAGTGCTAAATCCTTGCCTTGCACACTCCAGGATCCCCTATGGGCTCCAGATAGTATCCTGGCGGTTCCACTTCCATCCAGCCCCCTGCTTGTGGCCTGGGAAAGCAGTAGAGGACGGCCCAAAGCCTTGGGACCCTGCACCCATGTGGGAGACCTGTAAGAAGCTCCTGCCTCCTGGCTTTGGATCAGCTCTGCTCTGGCCATTTCTGCCGCTTGGGGAGCGAATCAGAAGAAGAAAGATCTTTCTGTATGTACTTCTGTCAGCAAATCTGCCTTTCCAATAAAAAAGGAGAAATTATTGGGAGATAAGTGCTGGAATGCAGGTCAAAGAAATCTGAAATGGGTGACTGATAACTAGGATGAGAAGAGGACCCTTATTACAGATTCCTGGGGTAAATTTTTGGACTTGCTGCATGATGGAAACAGGCACAGGGGGCCTGGCCCAGCAGCTCAGATGCTGAGAGTCTGCATTCACTGTGATCAGGATCCTTGGGTTCCAGAAGGGGCCCAGCTCAACTCCAGCTGTCTCCTAGTAACACACTGAGAGGCAACAGGATCCCTGGGGGCTGGGTTGTGCGGGCCCTGAGAGGAACTCACCTGGCCCAGCCACGGCCCAGCTTCGGCATGCAGCTAGGCCACACCTGAGACATGAACCAGCAAAGGAGAGGCCTTTCTCCCTCTCTCTCCATGTCTTTTAGAAGAAACTGTTAGATTACCGGCAATCCGTGAAAAGAAAAGATGTATAGGGCCCGGGGCGGTGGCACAGTGGTTAAGTCCTCGCCTTGCACGCCCGGGATCCCATATGGGCGCCGGTTCTAATCCTGGCAGCCCCGCTTCCCTTCCAGCTCCCTGCCTGTGGCCTGGGAAAGCAGTCGAGGACGGCCCAAAGCTTTGGGACCCTGCACCCGCGTGGGAGACCCGGAAGAGGCTCCTGGCTTCGGATCGGCATAGTATCGGCCCGTTGCGGCTCACTTGGGGAGTGAATCATCGGACGGAAGATCTTCCTCTCTGTCTCTCCTCTCTGTATATCTGCCTTTCCAATAAAAAATAATAAAAATAAATCTTTAAAAAAAAAAAAAAGAAAAGATGTATAAGGCTTTCATTGAGATTGGCTCTCAGACCTGTTTCTCCACACAGCAAGGAAAGGGAAAATGGCTTTGAGAGTATGGGAAAAGGCAAGGTGGGGGACAGGAGAGTTTTTGTTCTTGTTGTTTTGTTTTGTTTTCTTTTAAAGATTTCTTTTTATTGCAAGGTCAGATATATAGAGAGAAACATCTTCCATCCAATGATTCACTCCCCAAGTGACCACAACGGCCGGTGGTGTGCCAATCTGAAGCCAGGAGCCAGGAAATTCCACCGGGTCTCCCACATGGGTGCAGGGTCCCAAGGCTTTGGGCCGTCCTCGACTGCCTTCCCAGGCCACAAGCAGGGAGCTGGATGGGAAGTGATGCTGCCGGGATTAGAACCGGCATCCATATGGGGTTCTGGTGCATTCAAGGCGAGAACTTTAGCCACTAGGCCTCAACGCCAGGCCCAGGAGATGTTTTTATACCTCTCCCAACACTAGAGCTGGCACAGGCTTTATTTCAGTCCAGATAAGGTCAGGAATGTCTATCTTAAGTAGGTCATTGGATAGCAGAAGTTCTGCTAGCCTGGTGATGTGTCCAGCTCCTGCACTCATTTCTGGTTCCAGGCTGAGGTTTCAGTGATTTGTTGGGTCTGAAATAATTCCGCCTCCTACACCTGCAGCAGCCATCATAAACCAAGTTTATTGTGTTGGGTAATTGGTTAAAAAAAAAAAAATACTAGTAGCTGGGCCCCATGCAGTAGCCTAGTGGCTAAAGTCCTCATCTTGCATCCCTGGGATCCCATATTTACTGCCTTTTCACATATTGGCTGCTGCACTTCCCATCCAGCTCCCTGCTTGTGGCATGGAAAGCAGTTGATGATCACCCAATACCTTGGGACCCTGCACCCATGTGGGAGGTCCAGAGAAAGCTCCAGGCTCCTGATTTCAGATTGGCTCAGCTCTGGCCACTGCAGCCATGGGGAGTGAGGGGAAGTGACATTTAGTTCAGATATCTTCTCCCAGTTGCCTTTCATTGTCTTAATGGCTTTTCGTTAATGTTTTAACATCCAGTTTACCAATCTGTAGAAGGACATTGTGACCCTAGAAGGTCAGGGAGCACAGGATTACAATTGATAGGATAATGTTTATATGAAAACAACTGAGTGGGTTCCATTTGTATGGCTAATGGGATAGCATTTGTATGAGAATAGCTGAGTGGACAGCATGTGAATAAGAACACTTGGTAGAATATACAAAAGAGTTCCAAACAAAAATATTGAAACAGTTGATGGGTTTTGTTGACAAGCTCAATACCTTCTCCTTTATCCTCTATGTATAAATTCAGATGCCACTAATAAACTTTGGCTTTCAACCATCAGTCAGTGTGCATGCGTGTTATCAGCTCAGAGCACCATTGCTGCAGGACAGCGACACCAATCTTTTTTTATAAAGATTTATTTGAAAGAGTTACACAGACAGAGGGAGACATACTTTCTTTCTGCTGGTTCTCTTCCCAAATGACTGCAGTAGCAGACTGGCAGGCAAAGCCAAGAGCCTGGAGCTTCTTCTGAATTGCCACGTGGGTGCAAAGACCAAGGGACTTGCGGCATCTTCCAGTGCTTTCCCAGGCACATTAGCTGGGTGCTGGGTCAGAAATGGAGCAGCCAGGTCTAGAACCAAGGCTCTTTATGGATGCCTGCTTTCCCAAGCACATTAGTAGAGAACTGGCTTGCAAGCAAAGTAGGCACCTACCTGCTTGACTCACTATACCACAAAATGGCCCCACTTTATTTGTCTTTTTATGGTTGATCATGCCTTTTGTGTCACACACACACACCCCTTTTCAGACTGGCAGAGTGGCTCAGCAGGATGATCCTCCAACTTGCAGCACTGGCATCCCATATGGCTCCAGTTCTAGTCCTGCATGCTTCATTTCTGATCTGGCTCCCTGCTTATGACGTGGAAAGGCAGTGGAGGATGGCTCACGCTTGGATCCCTGCATTCACATAGAAGTCCTGGAGGAGATTCCTGGCTCCTGGCTTCAGATCGGTCAGCTGTAGCTGTTGTGGGGAGGGTGACCCAACAGGTGGAAAACCTCACTCTGTCCCTCCCTCCCTCCCTCTCCTCTGTGTAAATCTGCCTTTCAAATAAAAATATATAAATACATCTTTTTAAAAATACTTGTAAGTATTCATGGAAAAAAATGGAATTATTTTGATGCAGATAATTTTTTTGAGATCCATGCATATTAGGCATTTTCCATAAACTCATTGAAGACCCTTCATATCCCTGGTTTCAAAATCTTTTTTCCCAAAAATAAACACCTTCTAATCCCATTTCTTTTCTTTTTAAAATTTATTTATTTTGACTGGAAAGGGAGATTTACAGAGAGAAGAAAACCAGAAAGGTCACTCCGCAAACGGCTGTAACGGTCAGAGCTGAGCTTATCCAAAGCTGTCTATTTCAAATTAATTTTGTGAAAGGTATGAGGGTAGTGATTATTGTCATCCCCTCCCCCCACCCCCACAGTGTGTACGTCTAGTTGGTGCACTGCTTTTGATTGACAAGATTCTCATTTCCCTGCTAAGCTCTTATGGCAGTGTTGCTGTCAGTGCAAGGATCAAGGCACCATATATTGCAATATGACTTCTA